GGGGGGGGAGCATGCGACTTTTGGAATTTTCACTTTGATGATGGCAAGTTCTGACAGTCTCACATACCAACAGGAAAAAATAGAGTAGGGCTGTCTGGGTGGATTCCAACATTGAACTGAAAGAGAAACAGTCAGCACTGTCATCATGCCTGGTGCTTGCTTCATCTCTGCCCCGATTCTCTTCGAGTGCTTTCATACACAGACTTAAGCAGCCAATCTGCAAAAATGATTTTGAGGACGCCAAACTGTCCTGAACACTTTCTCATCATTCAAGCCGCCCAACCTGTCCTTACCACCACTGACATATCTGCATAAGAGGCCGCACATGAAGGAGCACACAGGGAGGAAAGATAGACTAAAACCATACGCACCCCAAAAGTGAACGCCAATCACATCCAGAATGGCACTCAGTTCTATAGGCTGCTACAGCACTCTCAGCTATTGTCAATCTGACAACTTGGCAGAGGACATGAGTCATCTGGCGCAGGAAAAGGGCGGCCGGGGGCAAATCTACAGGGAGGAAAGATAGGCTCATACTGTATGCACCCAAAAGTGAATACCAATCACAACCAGAATTACACTCAAGCCTATGGGCTGCTGCAGCACTCTCAACTACTGTCAATCTGACAGCTTGGCACAGGACACGAGTCATGGGGGGAGAGGGGGAGCAAATGCACATTTTGGAGTTTCACTTTGATGATCCGACACTGAAAATGCAAGGAAGATGAGCGATAGCGAACTTCACAAATCAAACAGCATCATACACATGAGACCAGATAGTCGTGACCTCGAACCAATAGCAGAATTGCATCTCGAGTTTCACCAGATAAGAGCACCGCAAAAGCTCATAATTGACAATGCTGGAATAGTCTCACCATCATCAACGAAGAACCAATGTTGATATCCTATCTGGCGCCCGGAGCCAAGACTACGAATGGCAGATCCTATCTAGCCTAGACTACAATGCCACTGATGACGTCAACAGCTCCCCGAAGTACGAGCAGATCCCGGCCAATGACGTACGCTTCAAGCACCAGGTATGTCTCTCGTATCACTCACAACCTCGTTCCCCAACTCACAGATGCCACATGCACCCAAGGACCACCATGCGCCCCAACCAGCATACAGCAGCGCAGCTTGGCTATGGCTGCCTGCTCCTTCCAGCTCGCCCATGAGCGCTTGAGCGCTGGCCAGCGATAGCGCAGCAGTGCTTGCGCACAATGCAGCCAGGGCCCGAATGCTGAATGTGTGGGCAGGCCCTTTCCTAAATGGAAGCGGCCTGCCTGTCGTGTGTGCAGCCTGGCTGCACTGGGCCCTTGCCCAGAAGCTTCCGGTAGGCCCACAGAGGCTGAGCCTCAGTCCAAACGAATTCAGGCCCAGGGTCTGTGACAGTTACCCGTGCCCAACTGTTTACAGTCTGAGTTGGGTCTTCTCGCCCAGGGCCTGACTCAGATGCATTTGATAAAGGAGGCCAGGGCCTGGGCGCTTTCAACCAACTGGTGCTATGCAACTGCCTGAATTTCCCCAGTTGTGTGTTGACCCCAAAATTGGCCTGTCGGCCTCGGTCAAGCCTGCCTTCACTAAGGGCGGCCGACTGAGCTGAACATAGGGCCCAGTAGGGCATATTGAGGCCTTGTGCCTTGCATTCCCTCCTCCATACTTCGCTAGTCCTCTGAGAAGTTTAATCTTCAATAATCTGGCGCTTTCCTTTCTGCAGAGGCTTTTCATATAGAGCCACAACCTGAGGAGCGGTCTGCATCAGTTCCTCCCTGGTAAACCATCAATCCTCCTTTGGATCAGTATGATGTCTGAACCGAACCTGATACTGCATCTTCGGTTTCGGAGGACGTCCCCTGCCTGTAGGTCTTGGAACTGGCATTTCCTTGTGGTCAACGATGTCGTCAATGTCGACCTCTTTATCCATGGTTGGGGGCAGCATTGAGCGACGAGAGGGAAGCTGATCTGTTTCTTTAAAAGGTGCAAGCTTTGAGACGTGGAAAACAGGGTAAGTGCGTAGGTGACCAGTGATACGAATAACATAAGAAGGGCCATCCGGTTCATCCCCAACGACATCTAGAACCTCCCATGGTCCAAAGTACTGTGGCACGAGCTTGCGGGAGATCCCGTGCTCTTGTCCTAGTTCTGAGGACTTAACCCAGACTCTTTCTCCTACCTGAATAAATGTAGATGGGCGGCGGTGTTTGTTCTCTGACTCTATCATCGCCGCCTGTGCTTTATACATCTGCTCAACAGCCTGCTGCATCAGGTGCTCATCCCGATAAGCAAACTCTAAAGTCCCTGGTGCAGCAGATGACTGATTCTCAGGTAGTAGGAAGTCCAAAGGCAGTCTAGGCTTGAAAGTCAATAGCAAGCTGTTCGGGCCTACTCCCGTAGCACTGTGCACAGCGTTGTTGTACAGGCTGGCGATGAGAGCAAGTTTCTCATCCCAGTCTACCTGATTTGGCTTGATGTAATGCCTCAGCAGGTGTTGTACAGCGCGGTTGTTGTGCTCTGCCTGCCCATTCGCCTCTGGGTGATTGCCTGATGTCATTTGCAACTGCGTGCCCTGTTCTGCAGCTGCAGCTTTCCACAGTTCACTGGTGAATCGCACATCCCGGTCACTAACTATAGACTTAAGCAGTCTGAAATCTCTGACCCAGTTTTCTTTGAATAGCTTGATCACGTACTCGGTCTTTGCTGTTTCCGGCATGGCCACTAACCTAGCATACTTACTAAATCTATCCACGATGACATAGATGTACCTCATGCCACTCTTGTTGGGGACTAGCGTATCCATGAAATCCATGGACAGGGTTTCACCAGGCCCTTCCAGACTGGGAAGGGGCTTGAGCAGCCCAAGAGGAGCCTGTGTCCGGGGCTTGTCATGTTGACAAACTTGACAAGTCTCGACATACAGTTTGGCATCTCTCATCATCGTGGGCCACAAGAACCACTGCAACAGATTGGCTGCGGTCTTCTTGAAACCAAAATGTCCCCTCGCATCGTGATTCTCACCTAAAAATAAACTACGCAAAGACTCTCTATTAGGAACACACAAACGTTTATTCCCGGCCTTCTCAAGGAACAGCAAGTCGTTGACCAACTCAAACTTGGCAGAAGTCACCTTGTCCTTCACCTCGAGTCTGCGTATGATCTCGGACATGAACTGGTCCTCGTGGTAGGCTTCCACCAAAGAGCTAGTAACATCGTCCGCAAGCCCAAACTCAGTGATCAGCGCACCGGAGAAGTCTGGCCTACGCGAAAGCGCGTCAGCAACTTTGTTGTACTCACCTTTTAGGTACTGGGGCTCGAAGTCATACTGCTCAATGACTTCGATCCGGCGTTTCGGTGCATCGAAGAGCACAAACTGAGTTCTCATCCACTTCAGAGTCTGATGATTAGTCCTGACGATGAAGAACCTCCCAAGGAGATAGTGCCTCCAATTGGTTAGCGCTTTATAGATCGCGTACAGCTCCTTCTCATCGGTGGACTTAGCCAACTTCTGAGAGGGCATCTTTTTGGACATGTACTCCACTGGCCTCAACTTTGGCCCCTCCTGCTGCGCGAGCACGGCACCTATGCCATATTGGCTAGCATCCGTGGTAACTATAAACGGCTTGTCAGGATGAGGAAGTTTCAATGGTGTGTCAACGCATGCTTCAAACGTCTGAAAGCAGACTCACATCCATCTGTCCACTCCCATGGGGTGTCAAGGCGAGTAAGGTCCGTCAAAGGGGCGACAACTATGCTATAGCTCTTCATAGTTCTTCACAAAATTGCGATAGCAGCCGGTCATCCCTAAGAAAGACCTCATCTCAGTCCCAGACTGAGGATCCTTCGCGTCATCGGGCTTCAAACCCTTCGCGGAAATCTCATGACCCAAGCACAAGATTCAGGTGCGACCAAACTCGCATTTCTCCCCGTTGATCTTGAACTTGTGTTGCTGAAGGAGACTAAAGACTTTAAGTGCGCAATGTGCTCCTCGACAGTCCTACTAAAAGTAAGTATGTCATCGACGTACACGATGACAAACTTATCCAAGTAGTTATGAAAGATCCGATTCATAGCGTGCTGAAAGGTGCTAGGAGCATTGCAAAGGCCGAAAGGCATCACCACAAACTCGTACAGATCATACCTAGTCTGAAAGGCGATTTTGTGCTGATCCTCGGGCCGTATTGCAATCTGATGGTACCCGAACTTCAGATCTACCTTACTGAAGTACCGACACCCTTGCACTCTATCTAGCAAATCATCGATGCGCAGTAGGGGCTCTCGGTTCTTGACAGTGATGGCATTGAGGCCCCTATAGTCAATGCACATCCTCAGAGTTCCCCCCTTCTTCGGCACAAATAAGACTGGAGATGCGTAAGGGGAGACACTCGGCCGGATCCAACCCTTCTCTATGAGTTCCTTGAGCTGTCGGCGAAGCTTGTCAAGCTCGCCTAGAGACATCCGATAGATCCTACCCTTCGGGATGCTAGACCCTGGGATAATATGTATCGTGTGGACGACCTCCCTCTCGACAACCCCTGTCGGCTCTTCAAATAGATCACGGTACTTAGCAACTACTCCCTCTATCTCCTGCAACATTTTCACCGGCTCGCCTACAGCGGAGACATAAACTACATACATACCCTCCTTCGGATTTTGCTTATAATAGTTATAGAACATGGCCGCACACATGCATCCGTAGGACTCAATCAGACTACTAGCCTTGAACTTACGTAATCGGGCAGTCCCCCCACCTGGCAAAGTGTGTTTGACCACATTCGGTCCCAGTCAAACTGGGGTTGTGCAACGGAGAGGTAGTACATACCTAACAAGATATCCATAGGGAGATCATCGCTCACTAGGAACGAGACGCGATGTCTCAGTTCCCCTCCCGCGGACAAGAAAAGACACTCAATGTCCTGAAGGTAGTCGTTGACTACCATGCGTTGTTTGTTGGCGCAGGTCGACTCCACTGGTCGACTCAGGCGCTGCACTTGCCCCTGTAAGCGCATCCTTTCAACGCACGCGCGACTAATGAAGTTCCTAGTTGAGCAAGTGTCATAATAGGCCCTGGCCTTGCGGCCGCCGATGACTACCTCGTTGACGAACATCTCACCCTTAGGGGCTTTAGCCAATGTCGTCCAAGAAGCTAGTGGGTCTGATCTAGACCACTCCTCCTCTAGCTCCTCTAAGGACTCAAACACATTTATCGAATAGAGGCTCGATGGGTCTGAATGTGTTTGCGGGACGACGATGGAGTCAGTAGCTTGGGCCATCTCTCGAGATGGTGAGGGTGTATCCACCACCTCGACCCTAGCAGGAACAACTACTATTCCTACTGGCCCGACGTGTTTTTCGGAGCGGTGCCAGAACTGCTGGCCACATTGCTACCAACGGGAGCGGAGGATCCCAACGCCTGCCCCATCGTAGGCGGGAACTTTTCGATCACCTTCTTATTTCGACACTTGAATTGGTTATGGCCATATTGGCCATAATGGATACAAGCCTGCCGCGTGTACCGATCTCTCCACACGTCCTCAGTGAGACCCGCTTTCTCCTATGGAGGAGCATTGGGGTCGACTTGACTCCTAGACCGGGAACCTCCACGGCGTCTACCGGTCGCCTTACCTTTCTGAGCTACGACAGTGACTACTCCACCCCCTGAAGCTTCTACGCTGCCAGCCTCTGAACCCACTCCTGCCAAGAAGTCGTCATCCAAGTCGATGGTAGAACTATCGTTGTCGACGAACATGATGCGTCCCTTCGCTTTTTAGTTGGGAGGCAATGTCTTTCTTCTACCATCCGTCGTGGGCGTCTGACCATGACCTATCTTTGCTTCAAGGTCTAGGGCCTTCTTGCTAAACGAGGGAAAGTTGTGCACGTTGATGTTGGCCTCACCTGCCAACTGATTCCTGAGAGGCATAGGAAAGCATCTCAGGTAGGAGGTGAGTAAAACCTGGGGGTCATAGCGCACCCCAGGGACACAGATCAGACGCTCTACTGCATTTGTGGCCTCCCTTACTGACTTAAACTGCCTTGTATGCAGAGTCAGGATCGCAGCAGTGGCGTTTTGGGCCTCCTGAGGATCATGCCACCTGTCTTCTACCAACTCGAGGAAGTCATCCAGTTTCTGGGTGACCGCCCAAGCGCGGAAGTCATGACCGTATCACTGCAACTGCACTAAACCACTCAAACATCTTGCTGCACTCCCCTCTAAATAGGAGGCAGCCACAAGCACTTCCTCGTGCGGCAAGGTAAGTTTACACTTAACATAGACTGGCACTGCCCTCAACCATGTGTCAAGGTCTTCGCCCCTCTTATCCCCTGTAAAGGGTTTAGGAGCGGCGATGGCCACCTTCGGAACCCACTGACTTTTTCGCGGTACCTGCACCATTCTGGGTTGTGGACCGTGAGGTGCAGGCTGCTGCACTAGCTGCTGTTGGGGCTGTGTACCCTGCGGCTGCGCAGGCTGCGAGACAACAGGCTGCCCACTTACGGCAACCTGCGACGGAGGTTGGGAGAACACTGTCTGTACAGGAACCTGTACACTAGGACCTGTTGAGAACCCTCCTACAAACGGCATACCCAGGGAAACGGTTTGGACCTATAGTGGGGAGACAGATTGGGATACCCCAGTCACTGGTGGGACAAAAGGAGAAGGTTGCACAACGGGCCAGGCACCGGGCCCCGACAGCGATGGTGTTGCCTGCGCTCGCCCGACCAGCAAGGCCAGACTCTGCTAGATGTCCTGAAGGAGAGCCGTGTGGTGGTCCTGCATCGCTACAACACCGAGCAAGGCTGTCAGCAATGTCCTCACATCTGCATCGATGTGTGTCAGGTCCATCCTCTCTAACTCACTAACGTCCGCTTCTCTCCGCTGCATCCTGGCTCTTCTTCTAATCATTCTTTCCTTGTCCGCTTTTCTCTCTACTAAAGCCCTCTGTAGTTGTGCCTCCTGCAGTGCTGCCTGCTGTATGGCAACCTCATCGGAAGTCAACACTGACTCCGGGTCTGTGCGACTGTTGACCCTACCGGCCCCTGAACTGCTGGCCTGGGAACTCTGTTGCGCAACAGTTGCCATGGCTGCTGAAGCAGTGGCTTCACTTGCGAACTGCTGGCCTCTGCTACCCTAGCTCTCCGCTGCTGTTGTTGTCTCTCCCTAAGCTGAAGGAACAGTAACCTATCACCCTCGGGTCCTAGTGCCACGTGGGCAATCGGGCGTCTAGCCGATCGCAAGATCCAGTCGTCCTCACTAATGGTATCCCTATCGCTCATAAGCTACAGAGCCGCACACAATCTGCACTAGGTCACTCTTTGATGCCTGCCGCAACGTAGTGCACAGACCGATTACATTACTCGATGGCTGCTTCAGAGTAGATACATTCGAATCCAACAGGTAAGTTCAGATTCCTACAAATGAAAACTATTTTACTTTGACTAGTTCACATACAGAAAGCACAACAAATAGGAGTTCTAACTATGCTGTCTGTCAGATGTTAATGGTTGTACATCTAACGAATCAAAATAAAAATAGAATCATCTGTTGGGTTTGTTTGCACAGTGGAATCTTTCCCAAACTTATCACCTAGAATCTACCCCTCCCTCAGTTCTTCCTAAATGTCTCTCGTCGTCAACGTCCCTGAGCAATCCGGACAGCGTGTGTGTCTAAAGGTGTGCACACGGCCCACCCCTATGCCTCGAGTCCTGTTGAGCTGGCCAGCCCTGCACCGTGTTTATTCTCGCGTGCAGCAAGCCTTACACCGACCGATTGGCTGATCAGGAGGCGTTTATATGGACGGCCCCCGAAGTCCTCAGGAATTCTTTAACGTCGCATACAGCACGACGATTACAACAAATGGAAGGTACCCCGCCGGTGCTTATTTGTAGATGACCGGTCTTGTTTGTCCTATAGGGCTGGCCTGCCCCTCAGAACCCCTCTACAGGCCTCTACAGTCTAATCACAACGACGCAATTATCAGGGGCGTGCTCTACCAGCTGAGCTAATAGCCCACCATTTTTAGAGGTTAGGCTCCTCACCTTTTTCGTTCTGAATTATGATTTTGAGAAATTATGACTTTGATTCTTAATTATGAATTTCAGTAGGATATAAGGGCCTAAATCAGTACAAATAAAAGAACATCTATGATTTATTGTAGTTAGTTAATACAATACAAAATGAATCTAATCTGTATAAAATATCAATATCATTTTCTTGATGATAGTGATTTCAATCCCATAAATAAATTAGTGAATTGGAAATTTATTAATTATTCTTCTTAACGCAGCGAGCAGACAAAAGACAAAGCAGCAAAGCATGCGTGCTCTACTCCCGGTGGGTTGGCATGGTGACCGTGACCAAGTGCTTCGTCCAGGGCCCTTCAGATAGCACCGCCCTCTCCTTTCAGATGCTCGACGTGAAGACTGGCGACTCTCAAGGTTGAGCGCACACGACTCACATGAGAGGACTCTCAAGACAGAACACACATCCTCACGGTAAGAAGTGTCGAAGAGGGTAGATAAGGTTAGGTGCAACGTCCCTCAAAATAGCTGCCCCCAACCACCGATATTCTCACCAGATGACCCGATGTTGATTGTGATGACCAATCGCTGCTTCGGCACAACCAACATTGCACCACTGTTCCACCTCAGCATCAATCGCACATCCGATAGTTCTCATCACACTGCGATTACCCAATATCACACCACATAGCCTTCCTGGCGAACCCCTCTCCACCTGGGTCGCCTACTTATCTTCGCCCTCCTCACTACACACGTCCCACGACACGGTTGCTCACCGCACACACCGCGTGCATGTACCGCATTAGGCAGAAGACAAGTGCCAGATTAGCGCACCGAACCACAGCTCTGATACCAAATTGCAAGGAACATGAGCGATAGCGAACTTCAGAAATCAAACAGCATCATACACATGAGACCAGATAGTCGTGACCTCGAACCAATAACAGAATTGCATCTCGAGTTTCACCAGATAAGAGCACAGCAAAAGCTCATAATTGACAATGCTGGAATAGTCTCATCATCATCAACGAAGAACCAATGTTGATATCCTATCTGGCGCTCGGCGCCCAGACTACGAATGGCAGATCCTATCTAGCATAGACTACAATGCCACTGATGGCGTCAACAACTCCCCGAAGTACGAGCAGATCTCGGCCAATGCCGTACGCTTCAAGCACCAGGTATGTCTCTCGTATCACTCACAACCTCATTCCCCAACTCACAGATGCCACATGCACCCAAGGACCACCTTGCGCCCCATCCAACATACAACAGCGCAGCTCGGCTATGGCTGCCTGCTCCTTCCAGCTCGCCCGTGAGCGCGTGAGCGTTGGGCAGCGATAGCGCAGCAGCGCTTGCGCACAATGCAGCCAGTGCCCGAATGCTCAATGCGTGGGCAGGCCCTTTCCTAAATGGAAGCGGCCTGCCTGTTTAGCGTGCAGCCTGGCTGCACAGGGCCCCTGCCCAGAACCTTCCGGTAGGCCCACAGAGGCTGAGCCTCAGTCCAAATGAATTCAGGCCCAAGGCCTGTGACAGTTACCTGTGCCCAACTGTTCACAGTCTGGGTTGGGTCCATGCTGCATATCTCGCCCAGGGCCTGCCTCAGATGCATTTGATAAAGGAGGTCAGGGCCTGGGCGCTTTCAACCAACTGGTGTTGTGCAACTACCTGAATTTCCCCAGTTGCATGTTGACCCCAAAATTGGCCTGTAGGCCTCGGTCGAGCTTGCATCCACTTAGGGCGGCCGACTGAGCTGAACATAGGGCCCAGTAGGGCGTATTGAGGCCTTGTGCCTCGCAAAAAGGGACAAATAGAGTTTAGCTGCCCAGGTCTCTGAGCAATGACAGATGCCAATCATTACTGGTGGACATTTCCTACAGCGCTCTGGAGACAGGTCCAGTCAACAAGCACATGGGCAAGAGATGCCTGTCTCTCTCAGCATTAGGGAAGCAGAAACGTCAGTTCCTACTTATGCTGCCACCTACTGAAGCCCAACGATTCTTTTTTCCCCCCATTCGGTTCAAAGAGGTCTCTCCGTAGTACTTCCACCTAATGTATGTTCCATAACGATGGATTTTAGCATTTGTCCGGTTAATAACTAGAAAATAGGTGAGAATATGCACGTTTACTTGGGTTAGGCCGACACCCGGTCCAGACGGACCGAGCCTGACGGACAGGGCCAGAAGATTGGGGGGGGTCCGTCTGGCAAAAACAGACGAACCAAAAAACATCCCAGGATTTTCTTTATTTTTTTTTGAAGATGGGGTTGGACTGTGCTCGCTAAGAGGAACCCAAATCCGCAGAGACACTTGTGAAAGGCATGCGTGTTGGGGGAGGGGAGGAGAAGTTTGAGGAGGGGGGAGGGGGCGGTTGACAAGAGGGTAAAAGGGTGTGTTGCAGCAGCCAGTCCGCCAAAGGGAGGGGTTAGAGGAGAGGAGGAAGAAGAAGAAGAAGAAGACGCCACTTCCTTTGTCTGCTCTCGTCCTTCCAGACCCGCCACTCACCCCGCCGACGCCGCTGCCACTCCCCACCATAATGTCTTGGAAGTAGAGGATGCAAGGACCAACAACTAGGGGAAAAAAAAGTAAAAATATCAGAAGAAGAAGAAGAAGTTTGTGCAGTTGTGAATGGAGCTGCTGTCTGCCCGCTTACGTCTTTTTTTGGGGGCAGGAAAAAGAAAAAAATGAACGGGAGATTGCAGGCAGTAAGATATGGTGGGTGGTGCAATATGGTTGGAGGATGTGCGAGATGGTGGGCAGAAAGATATGGAGGAGGACGACGACGAGAAGGGAAGAAGAAGACAAAAGGAGGAGGAGGACGAGGAGGGAAGAAGAAGACGAAAGGAGGAGGAGGAGGAGGAGGACGGCGACAAGAAGGGAAGAAGAAGACAAAGGAGGAGGAGGACAACGACGAGGAGGGAATAAGAAGACGAAAGGAGGAGGAGGAGGAGGAAGACGAAGAGGAGGGGGGAAAGGAGGAGGAGGAGATAAGAATAAGGAGGAGGAGGAGGAAGAAGAAGAAGATCGAGGAAGGAGGAAGAAGAAGAAGATGAAAGGAGGAGGAGGTGACGACGAAGAAGAAGAAGACGAGAGGAGGGGGAGGAGGGGGGGAGGAAGGAGGAGGACAGGAAAGGAGGAGGAGAAAACAGATGGAGGAGGAGGAGAGAAGAAGAAGAAGAAGAAGAGAGGAGGAGGAGGAGGAGCAGGAGGAGGAGGAGGAGGAGGAGAGAAGGACAAGACGAGGAGGAGGAGGAGACAAGAAGAAGACGACGAGAGGAGGAGGAGAGAAGAAGAGAAGACGAGAGGAGGCGGAAGAGGAGGAGAGAGGGACAAGACAAGGAGGAGGAGGAGGAGAGAAGAAGGAGACAAGAGGAGGAAGAGGAGGAGGAGGAGGAGGAGAGAAGAAGAAGAAGGCGAGAGGAGGAGGAGGAGGAGGAGAGAAAGACAAGACGAGGCGGAGGAGGAGAGAAGAAGAAGACGAGAGGAGGAGGAGGAGGAGAGAAGAAGAAGACGAGAGGAGGAGGAAGAGGAGGAGAGAAGGACAGGCCAGGAGGAGGAGGAGAGAAGAAGAAGAAGATGAGAGGAGGAAGAGGAGGAGGAGGAGGAGGGAAGAAGAAAAAGACGAGAGGAGGAGGAGGAGGAGAGAAGGACAAGACGAAAGAAGGAGGAGGAGGAGGAGAGAAGAAGAAGAAGACGAGCGGACGAGGAGGAGCATGAGGAGGGAGAGCTGCCGGTAGTGTATGGGGTGACGAAAAACAAAAAGAAAAAGAGGACGAGGAGGAGGAGAAAAAGAAGGGGAATACCAAACCATATCTGTTTTTGTGCTATGACGATTTCCGTGAAATTACAAGAACCTACGCAAAGTAGGTGGACGAGGAGGAGGATAGGAGAAGAAGAAAATGAGGAAGGAGGAGGAGGAGGAGAGAAGGCGTTATGAACTCAGCCAGGGCTCGATCCCTGGTCCGCGGGTTACCACTCGCCAGGCTGCTATTTTATTTTTTTTGAGTCCTGATCTCTGGTTCCTGACTGTTGGCGCCATCTGCAGTTGGCACCCGTTCTCAAATCCCTCCTCTGGTACTTTTGGACTTCGATACTTGGTCCGGCATTCTGGCACCCAGGCTCAGACTTTCGACTGTTAGTTCAGGCCCGAGGCAAATTGCAATTCTGCCCTCGGACTCAACTTGAGTCTGGTACTTAAGACCGAACTCAACTTGAGTCCGGTACTTAAGACCGAACTCAACTTGAGTCCGGTACTTGAGACCGGACTCAAGTTGAGTTCGGGGATTCAGTTTTCGGCCTCAGTGCTTGTGCTTCAGTGTGACTTGCTGCGACATTGAGTACGGAGCCAAGATTGCGACTTTGCCACTTTGTGTCTGCGTCCATCGAGTCGTGTTGAGTCTGTGTCGAGTTGAGTGAGTGTGTGTGTGTGCTCTCACTCCCTCTGTCTCTCTTCCCCGATCTCGCTGCTCTACCTCAGCCTCGTCACACAGGTATCGGAGCGGCTTCGGCCCTCCCTCCCGCCCTGTCCTATCATCGTCACCGCCGACGTAGCCACGTCATCGCCATCATCGTCTCCATCGTCGCTACCACGTCATCGTCAGCGTTACCTCGTACCCGCTGCCACGTCGTCGTCACTGTCGCCGTTGCCATCGCCGACGCGCAGGTAAGTTACCAGCAAATTTTTATTCTTTCTTTCTCTTCTTTCTTCTCCACATTTCTTCTTCTTTTTCTTCCTCGTCGTTGTCATCGTTTCTCCTTCTTCCTCTTCTTCTTCTTTCCTCCTCTCTCTCCTTTCTCCCCGATCCTCTTGTACCCCTGCTGCCTACCCCGTCCCATTTCCCGCCCTCCCGCGACTTCTCGATTCCCGTGCGATCCTCCCGCTCGATCCCTCCGCCCTTACCGACCCTGATTCCCGCACTATTCCCCACTCGTTTCCTGCGCAATTCCCCGATCCCGACTCCCCCCGGACCCCCATTTCGTGCCCTTACCCCGACACCACACGAGATCCCCTTCCCCCGACATTCCCCCCCGCTGCACGCTACCCCCCGTCCCCTGACCCCGATCTCCCTCCCCGGTCAGATCCCTCCGCTT